AAGCCCAAGGATGACTCTACTCAGTCACCTAATGATAATAGCATCTCAGATGCCGCCCATTCCATTTCATTGATTTCACTCTCATTTTTTCCACTGTCTTTGTCACTTTGAAGAGTTGTCTGTTATGTATCCCTAATATGTTACCGGGAGCTTTTGCCCTTCACTGCTTGCCTCAAAGAAACAATTCAACTAAGACACTCTGGCAGAAGCTTGTTTGGCAAAACAAAGCATATGCTACTAAGACATTGAGGTGGGCTTTCCTGAAAGGTGGGGCATTGCAGTTCTGGGAATCCTATAGCCCAGGCTTAGGGTAGTTGCTGCCTGGCTTCCTGCCCAAGGATGAATCCATTTTCTTCGCACAGGTGAATTTGTGCAGTTTGTAATGGTACCTCTACTGTTCCTCCATATTTCTGTCAGTTGTAAGTGACAGTCTCATTTCTCCTGTCACTTCTAGTGCCCCTGGCCTCCCACACTGCTAACCACATGGCAGGTGCGTGTTCATGTTCCTTCCACGGTGGTTTCCATCCCTCAGCTCCCAGGGGAGAGAGATTTTTCACACTTTCCTGTCAGTTTCTACAAGCAAGGCTTGAATCTATTTAGAAGATCTCTGAGGGGAAGCCTGCCCTCCACACCTTCGTTTTCTTAATAACACCTGTGGTTTAATTAGTGAATTTCCAGATGCCAGCCTGCTTGTTAACTCGGAGGAGGTGCCCGTTACCATTCCAATCGCTCCTAGAGGTGCCCAGTACAATCATGTGCTTACACTCCCGAAGTGGTTGCTCAGGTATTTTGACTTGCACTCCTCAATTCTCTGCACTTGGAGCAGTGCGATGGTTTTGGGGTACACAAGGTGTGATCTGAAGCATTTCCCATGTTTGCAGTAAGTTTTGGCCTCTCCGTGCTCCTGGGCAGATCTTCTCTCGAAGGTACCATCACCCAACATGTTCTTAAACACATGATTCTGCCCTCTGTTGTGGCCTTCAATGGACCCAGGCTCCAGGAAGGCTCCATCCTGACGGTCTAGCTTTCCAGAGACCCTGTATCCCTCTCAGTATCAGTGACTTTCCTGTTAGTGTGTTAAAACACCAGGGCCAGAAGTGACTAGAGGAAGGGTCTGTTTGGCTCAGGGTTCCAGAAGGCTAGATGTCCATAGTGGTGGGGGAGGCATGTAGCAAAAAAGCTGGTGGGTCACATTTCAACCACACACATACAGACAGATGAACAGACAGACAGACAGACAGAGAGACAGGGACAGAGGAAGTAGCACAATGCTGTGACTTCTCAAAACTCGCCTTCAGCAAGGTTGCACCTCCTAACGGTTCCATGACCTCCCCAAACAGTAGCACCTACTGCAGACCAAGCATTCAGACACACAGAACGAGCCCGTGGGGAGCTCCTCTCCTTCAGCGCCTGTGGCGTGTTACATTGCACTGCCCCCGTCCCTAGAGCTGAGTGAGCAAGCACAATGCAATGAGATGACCGTGGGAGCGCTGGGAGGATGATTCATTTCAGCTGGGAACTGAGAGGTGGGTGGGACCGAGTCAGAGGGTTGCATTGCGAGGGCCGCGTGTTCAGTCCGGGCCCTGATGGCTAGGAAGCATGGCGGCCGCATTAGAAACAGGGGGAAAAGCTTGGGGAGATGGGCACTTCTCAGAGCCTAGTGGGCGCGTTGGTTGTGACAATGATCATTGAAGTCTAGGCACTCAATTGTGAGGTGATTTATGCTTATCAATTTTTGAGTGAAGAACAAAACAACCCCTTTTGTTGGCTTAAAAAAAAAAAACAACCCCTTTTACTGAACATTAACAAAAGAATTGTCCCCGGGGCTAAAGAAATAGCTGTCATTAAAGTGCTCGTCTGGCAGGCAAGAGGACCTGATTTCAAGCCCAGTGCCCGTATTTAAAAAACAAAAAAGCAAGCCGTGACAACCCATGAGCTGCAGAGGCAGAGGCAGACAGACAGACAGACAGACAGACAGTTCCCTGGGACTCGCTGACCAGCGGTCTAGCCTACTTGGTGAGTGCCAGTGCAAGAGAGAGACTCTGCTTCAAAGTGAAGGTAAATAGAACTGAAGAACACAACCAGAGGCTGTGTCCTGGCTGCCGCATACAAGCATATGTATGTGCACCTGCACACACAACACACACACACACACACACACGCACACACACACACACTAAAATGAAAAAACAAATCTTTCTTGTGTCATGATTCCCAAGGGATGTCCACTAAAGGCCACCCTGAACTGCACTGTCCACAGTAGCCCTATGTGTTGATGCCCATTTAAAGTTAAATTAAATTTAAAAAAATTGTTCCTTGGTTACACTAAACTCATCTCAAGGGCTCAGGGGCCACATGTGGTCCCTCCTATTCCCTGTATGACAGCATCTGTGTGGAGCTGGTGCAATTGAGAACGGGGCAGCGAGCTAAAGACGTGGTTGAACGTCACAGGCGTGAGTCTCTCCGGGCGTGGCCATTTCCACAGCATCCTTACTGGGTTGGTAGAAGGCTTCTCCATGTCGTATTCTCACCCACAGGTGCTCGGGTGACAAACTAAGCAGAATCCTGGCCCTCTGTTGAGATGATTTATGCTCAACTCCAGCCCTGCTGCTCAGGGGCAGCCAAGCTCAGGCTGGTCATCCGTCTTCCCTCTGCTAGAACCGTCTCCTCTGCAATGGAGGTGATGCAGTCATTCTCATTAACTCGACTGTGTGGGGAGAATAACCATGTAAAACTCAGGTTGGGGCTGGGGAGATGATTCAACCAGTAAGGCACTTGCTGACAAATACAAGGGTTGGAGTCCAGGTCCCCAGCACCCACCCTAAAGTCAGGGAGGCGTGACAGCCCACCTGTAATGCCAGCACAGGAGGCAGAGGCAGGAGACCCCCAGAGCGAGCTGGCTCGCTAGAAAAGCTGAGTTAGTGAGTTATCCATGCAGGTGAAAGACCCTGACTCAGTATACAAGGTGGCGAGTGATCATGGAAGACAACAAATGTCTACCTGTAGCCTCCACACACAGTGTGCACACATGTGCACATACATACACGTGAATACACATACGGACATGCATACCACACACACATACACATGCAAAAAAGTGTCAAGAATAATACTGGTTTGTATTTTCTTCTTTTTTTTCTCTTTGTATAGAGGCTATCTTTTAATTAAATTTTCCTACACAGATATTTTCTGAACTAAAAGCGATGCGCTTAACAATCTTTCAACACTCAGGAAGTGTGAAAGCAGCATGCATTTGGGAGAAATCTTACTTAGGACATAAAAGTTTGATCTTTTTTTTCTTGGTTAGAGAGAGGCAAAGCAGACTCCCACGATGCTACACAATGGCAGGTACAGTGAGTCACATGGAAGCTCCCATCACCCACATGACCAGGAGATGCAAGGAAACTCCGTGGTAGACCATGCCTCTAGGCCAGGTGTAGGGCAGGTGAGGTGATTTAAGGAGCTTTCTGCTTAGATGGAAGGAAGCCATGGTTATGCAGGGACATCCTGCAATCGCAACGTGACATACGGATGCTACAAATGAATATTCTAACTCATTTGGAATGAAGACATTAACACAAAAGCCCTTAGGAAAGTCTTTGCTTGAGAAGGAGCTTTGCGATGAGTCCATACTTGAATGAGTAGTTTTCAACTTTGGTTGTGGATTAGATTCTTCTAGGGCACTTAAAATCATGTTCATGTCCCGCCTATGCCCCAGACCAAGTAACTCAGAGCACCGATACAGGGAGTAGGATCTGTACATTGGTATGCCTTTCCTTCATACATTTAAATACTTGTTCAAGTAACATATTCTTATCATGGCTTTCCTTCCAGGTCTTTCCCACCTCCTCGCCCATTCAGCTCCACACCGTTTCTTTCTCTCTCTAGAAAGCAAGCGATCAGGTATGTTTTTAAAAATTCCCTGCGTGATTCCAGTGTGCAAAGTACAGCTGAGAAATACTGGTCTAGTAGGGCAGTTTATTATTTTTTAATTGTGTGTGGGCAGTTTATTAATTTTTAATTGTTTGTTTGTGTGTGTGTGTGTGTGTGCATATATGCATACACACATGCATGTGGTGCCTGCCAAGACCAGAGGCTTTGAATCTAGAGAGATACAGCTGGTTGTGAGCCACCCAGCGTGTGTGCTGAGAACAGAACTGGGATGCTCTGCAGAGCAGTGCACACTCTTTAAGTGCTAGGCCAACTGAATTAGTGAACACTAGATTTAACTGGAGACACCATCTCGAAAAGTAAGGTGGTGAGAATCTGAGGAAGACACCCTCCACTAGCCTCTGCTCTCTACGTGTGCGTGAGCACTCCCCCTCACCCAGACACACACACACACACACACACACACACACACACACAGAGGCTCTCACATCCCCAAGTCATTAGAACCATATATCCAGATAGATGTTCTACTATCTGGAAATTATGCTTCTGAGTATAAGTCCTAAGTTTTAGGCCAAATGAAAATCATCAATGGTGAGGGGGTTGTGAATAATGAAGGAGATGGGTTCTCCCCCAAGGATATATTTCTCCAGCACTTTTCTGGCAAAATAATTGAATAAACGCTTATACTTTTATCGACCCTCCCCAGATTTATGGAGCCCTTTGTTTCCTACATTTTAGCTCTTCCTTCTTTGTTTTATGGTGTTATGGTGTTACGGGGTGTGTGTGTGTGTGTGTGTGTGTGTGTGTGTGTGTGTGTGTGTGTTGGCTTCTTTCCTTGAGGCAGAATCTCACCGTGTAGGTAGCCCAGGGTAGCCTGCAATTCACTATGCAGTCCGAGTAGGCCTCAGATTTGCAGTCCCCTTCCTTAGCCTTCCAAACATGGAGGAGACAGGGAAGACAGGCACATGTGGGCACAGCACTTTCTCTGTCATTTGCTTCATTTGGGATGCAGTGAAATAGGGGCTTCAGTATTTCCTGACTGAGCTAATGCAGAATCTAGGGGACATGGCTCTATTCTCATTCACCTCTCTTGTAGAGCCCCTATACCCAAATACCACTTCTGGGAGCTCCTAGTTCATTGCTTTCATCTTACAATGTCCAGTCTCCTGAAGAGTCCAAACAGTCCTCCCAGACTCCACCCCGTGCCTGTCTTCCGTAGACTCCAAGTCACCAAGCACCGCCTGGTAATTTACATGTTCGCCTCTTTCACCACCCCATCCCCAACTGTGAGCAGCTTCAGTGGACCTGGACCACAGTGCCCTCTGACTCCCTGGCCGACAACATTAGGTAAGTTTGTTAAATAAACCTCAACTCATTTTTAATACCCTGCCTGGCTTGGGCTTATGAAGACGAATAGAAACTTAGAAAACATACAACATCAACACCTGTCCCCTAAATACTCTACAAGACTCCTCAGAGTCCCAGCTTCCGTGAGTTTAGGACAGAGTCATATGACTGATCCCGGGTCCTGAGCATGAGTGTAAAGGAAGACCTGTGTGTTATTTCCTGTCTGATGTGGTAAAGGAGGGTGAGTTCCATTTGTTCACCTACCAGTTCCCCTTCTCTCTGCTTTGGTTGATACGGAAGGACTCTGAGACAACCCTGTTACTGAGCGACAGCATCACAAACCTGTCTGGAAAGCTGACTGGCCTGTGTTAGGCTGTAATGAAGTACACTTTGGGGAAAGGAGGGTGGAAAGTTGTTGCCTCCACCAAATCTAGCCTACGCTGACTGATATGATGTGTGAGCCTAACAAGGTAACATGTGGGGGAAGAAGAGGCTTGGACATAAATGATGTCATTTGCTCATGAGTCCTTTTCAACCGCTTAGAACAAGTCAGGCTCGGTGTCATGGATTTTATGACATCGAGTTATTTCCTGAGAGAGAAAAGCTGTTATCATTTTATTGATGAAGACAGTGAGACACCGAGAAGCAAAAACATTGGTTTTTCTGGGATGACAGATATTAGTATGAGCGCAAAGGCCCAAACTTCACCTAAGCCACTGCTGCTCATTCTGCCTCCATACAAATTGTCCATCCCCCAACCGTAATGTCCCCCAAGGCTTGTACTCTAGGAATAAGAATGACCTATTTAGAAATGGGACAGACTTCGCCTCTCTACACCGAACTCCACTGAAGAATATCTGTGTAGAAGTAACATGGTGCTAAAAAGGTTAAAGCCGATTTTGAAATTTATTTCTAGACAGACATTCTGAGCCCCCCGGGGAAAGATTGCAGCTGCCCTGTGGCCCAGATAATGCTATGTCAGGGTGAACAAGGACAGCACAGAACATTCTGTTCTCTTCCCCTGAGACCAATTAAAATCTGTAGGCATCTCTCTTGTTGACCAGGCTGACTGGCTAATTGAAACAGAATTGGGATATTTTCATCTGTCTTCTGAGCCCTGTCTGGAAGGAAGTTCTGTGATCAAAACACTCAAGTACACGGGCCTAGCGGATATATCCACAAGCACCCCCTTCTGCACTGCTGTACTCTGAACAGGACTCTAAGAAGAAATGGCCCATGGGGGGACAATCTCAGTCTTGGTTTATTCAGCTAAGGAGAAGGTAAATAGCAGGCATCTTCAGGGTGCACAGTGAACAGAAACCCCATCAGTCAGCAGCTCCTGTCTCTGCAGATCATGTCTCTCCCATTGCCTTCCTCCCCAACAAGCCTTCTTTCTGCCTCCTTGAAAAAAATGGTGTTACAGGACCAAGGACCTGTTGAGAACCCACAAGACAGCTAAAAAGCCTACTTAATCCCAGCACTCAGGAGGCTAAGACAGGAGGATCATGTGTTTGAGGCTAGCCTCAGCTACATAGCTACATCCTATTTTAAAACATAAAGAGAATAAATGTAACCTTGAGGAGTTTCCAAAACAATTACAGAAGCCAGCCACATATTTTAATTTTTTCCTTGCATGTATGTTTTGCTTACCATGTGTATGCCTACGCCCTCTAAGGTCAGAAGGGGCCCATACATCCTGTGGAACTGAAGTTCTGGATGGTTGCGATCCACTATGTGGGTGCTGGGAACTGAACCCAGCTCCTTTGAAAGAGCAACAAGTACTCTTAACTGCGGAGCCACCTCTCCAACCGCATCTGCCACACATCTAGACTGTTTGTTTATTCTGCCTGGGTGCCAGAGTTTCTGCCTAACCTCTGGGGGATTCTTTTTTTTTTTCTGTATTATCTGAACCACCTCAGATGTTAGGCATTAGAAAGGGCCTTATTTGCAGTTGTGAGGAGGCTCTAGTCAACAAATTCTTCAGAAAAAAAAGATGATTGCAGCACGGTGACCAAGGCCTAACCCTGAGAACCTGTTTCTGGATTTTCCAGAAGGTTCTATACCCAGAGTGTGCACATAGTTGCAGGGAGCTTTTGTGGCTTTGATGCTTCCTCACCACAACGGGGGCAAGGCTAGGCATTGAGTAGCTGCGTCTCCCTAGAACTATTGAAACCCTCGTTCCCAGTGTGATGCTGTTGAAACTCTGGTTCCCAGCTTGATACTGCTAGTGGAAGACATCTCAAGCTGCTTAGGCCCTGGAAGCAGAGCATTCAGAATGGCACTCATGCCCTCGCAATTCGGAAAGGCATAAGGGACCACAATTAATAATAATGTATTGCATGCTTAAAATTCACAGAACTCTCAAATATTTTCAATAAAAAGTCAATGAGGTGAAGGGGTAGAAATCTTTCTTGTTTACTTTTCTATTGCTGTGGGGAAAAACAAAGACCTGACCAAAAACAACTTGGGGAGGAAATGGTTTATTTCATCTTATACTGTACAGTCAATCATTTAGGGAAGCCAGGGCAGGAAGTCAAGGCAGGAACCTGGAGGCAAAAACTGAAGCAGAGGCCATGGAGAAACCTTGCTTACTGACTTGCTCCCCACAGCTTGCTTAGCCTACTTTTTATAGACCCCCCCCCCAAGACCAGCTGCCCATGTCTGGCAAACATTTTTTTAATTAATGATTGATGTTGAAGGACCCAGCCTACTGCCACAAAAACTCATAGGTACAAAATACAAAATAGTTCTATTTATAATACCCCAAACTATAAAAACTCTAAATACATGTCAACAGATGAATGTTTATATAGATTGACACACATGTACACATACGCACACAGACACACATACACATATGCATGCGCATGCACACACATACACTGGACTATTTCTGATCAGTGAAAAAGAAGCATTTCAAAACATTCATTTGTTTTTGAAAGAATTATTTTAAGAGAAAAGAAATGCATGAGATTACATACTCTACAGTTTCCTCTCCATGAAATTCTAAGTGGATGAGGGAAACAGACACATCACCATGGGAGAGAAGTATGCAGTGATTGCCAGGAGGATGGGGGATTTTATTGGTCACAGAGGACATAGCAGTTCCTTGAAGTGATGAACCTCTTCTGAGTCATGATGCTGCAGGTGTCAACACAAATGTACAGTTATCAGATTTCATTACTTACAAACTGCAAGTTAAAAAAAAGTGTATTATGTCGTACCTCAAAGCCAAATGTATTTGCATGTACATACATTATTTCAAGCGAAAGTTTTCAGTGTGGAAAAGATTGCACACCTTGCATAATTCAGTTCTCTCCGGCATTGACAGGAGGTTATAAAGCCTTGTGAAGAAACTATGTCCAGCTTTTCCCTGAGCCCCTGTTGTTCTTCCTCCTGCTTCTCTGAGATCCTAAGGTGGGGGGACACATTATCGAAAGAGCACCAGAGGCTCCCAAAGTAGGTCCAAACCAGCAATGTTGTTATGACGGCACAGACCTGCAGATGGGCATGAATCCAGTGCCCCTGGGCAAGGACTCAGAAAACATTGGTGCCAGCTCAAACAGTTTATCAAAATGTGTTTTTGTTTAAAAATCAGGCAGTCAACCTTTGGGACTCTTGGATGGGGAGGGAATTGTTTGGCTGAAGCTCCCAGTGCTTCTACTGCAGTGAAAGCCCATGGACATCCTGATAAACATGGTGCTGATGCAACAGCCACAGATTTCAGGGTAGAGGGCAGAATAAGGGACAAATTCCCCTGCCAGGGGTCTGTGGACTTTGAATCTATTGATTCAAATAACTGTCTAGAGGGCGGCCCATGTCCATGCCTAACACTGTGAAGGACAAGTGGACGATTCCAGGCAATAGACAGCAGGGAACATACTTGTCACATACAACATGCCTTCAAGATCTGCACCCCTTAAATTCTTAAGAATTGATAACTTAATAGACACAAATAAGACAGCAAAAAATAACAAAAATAAATTATTAAATTCACAGATTGCTAAGTTAGGAAAAGAACAGAGTCCTCTGAAGGAGGCAAGTGTGTGAATTCATAAACACTAAAGTTGAAATCATAGAGTTTAGAGGGAAAGCAGCAAACAGAGAAAGAGATAAATAAATCCAAAAGCTGGGTCTTAGATAGATTGAATTAAAATAACTATTGCTATGCTATCAAAAATGTGGTTAATAAAAAATTTTATTTTTATGAGTATTCATAAACACATTTTATGAAATAAGACATGAAAAACAGTTCCAGAAATGAAAGATAATAAAGGGTTCCTGAAAACCCCCAAGTAGTAATTCTTAAATGAGTCTGAAACCTTTCAGATTCATTGTATGACTTAAGCATAACACTAATTTACAAAAATCCAATAGTACACATATGATTGTTCACTATGTTATATTCAGAAATTCTGCATAAGTGATTGACAGCAATAAAAGATAGTGATTCTAAACAAAAGGTTAGCATAAGAAAAAAATGAACGACATCGTTAAGGACCATGTATTTGATCAAATGGGATTTCTTTCAGAAATTGAAACAATTTCAGGGTATTTTCATATTATAAAATATATGAATAAAATTTGCAATTGTAGACCCAAAGAGAAAAATTAAATGAGCCTGTTAGATGTTGCAAAGATATTGACATTACTTAAAGTACTGTGTAGGGGCTAAGTGATACCGTGAGTGAGTGACTGTTTATATGGGTATGACCATGTCAAGGACCCGAGGGCTTCAACCCCATGGAAACGGCAAAGTCTTTCCCAAGTGAGCCTCACAGGGATGGCAAAGCCTCACTCAGGCTTGCCTGTTGAGTGTGTAGAAAAATGTCTACAGCAGCTTTCTCTCTCCTGGGAGAGGTCTACAGTCTAAAGACTGCTTATCCATCGGGACTGTTCCTACTGAGATTAGTCAAGACCGTCTCCTTGTTCAGCTGTGTGTAATAACCCTGGTTAACCATTCAACTGTATGAAATAAACACGTTGAGCTTGCTGGTACTGTGGCATCTCTATCAGAGAGACCAGACCATTAGATCCCAGCTTTTGTGTCCATGTGTCTCTTGTTTCTTTAGTGTTTTTCATTTCTTAGTTATCTCACTTCCCTAGTCAGGGTTCTGGGACCAAAACCACACAAGGACATGACATCTTTAAAATGATAAAAGATACTTGATAAGATTGGCATGAGGAAAAGCCCTCCATACATACACACATCAGGGAAAAAAAGTGTGCGTGCCAAATAAACCCAACGCCCAGTATCATACTAAAATGGAAAATGCTAGGAGTATTTCCTGTCCTGTGCAATTAAAAAATTACAGTTTCACCAGCATCATTCAATATAATGCATTGCTAGCCTGTGGAAGCGCATAGGAGTTATGTAAGAACGGAGCCATAAAAATGAAATGACCACTATAGCAGACACGACTGTATATCCAGAACACCCAATCAAAGCAACTGGAAAAGATTTACGTTCATGAAATTTACGTTCATGAGGCCGTAAAGAACAGAATTAGATGTGGAAATGAGTGGTTTTCCTAGGCAAACATCGGTAGGTAAGAGCAAGGGTTAGAAGACCCTCAACCCCAGCCAAAACATCACAGCAGTTACAGGAGTAAATATTGAAACAATGTGTGGGAGGACTGCGCAGAGCCAAGCCAGCTCCTGGATGACAAAAACAGGGGTTAAACAAGCGATGACTCAAACCATGTCTTTAAGAAAACCTAACACCAAAAACACATCCATCTTTCTAGTTTATGAGGCTATGGATAGCGGCCCCTTCTGTGCTCCCCATTCACTCCTGACCAGAGCATAAATTGGGATGAGCTTCCGGAAGGCAATTTGGTTAGCGGCATTTATCAAAATTAGAAGCAAGTGCCCTTATTGAATAATGACACATATTCCATCTGTCTCAGAGACAAACGTGTGTAACATAGTACGTGAGTAAAGATATTCACTGTGTCTCTATCCAGCAAAACTGGAAATACCAGATGTGTCCATCAGAGGAGCCATAAATTACAGCCTATCCCTGCAGTGACACGTGACCACGGCTGTAAAATTACAGAAAAATAAGAGGAAGTCCCAGAACACTGCAGAAAGTGATGTTGGAAACACTTATCATTTAGAGGAACAAATACTCATATTTTCTCGTATGTGCTCAGAAAGTCTGGGCGGAGGACAAAGCCATAAGGAACAGGAAGGAGGAGGCATTTTCAAGACGGACATCTCAGCAGTTTAAAGTTTTTGATCTATATGAGTTCATTACAACTTCAAATATCACAATCAAAGCTTTAATAGAGTTAAGTAGGTTAAATAAGATATAATAAATGTTTACATTATGAAACAAAAGATATTTAACTGAAAGAGAAGATTAAGAATATAGTAAAATGCCCCAAATCACCTA